AGGGCACCCGCTTGGCCGAGTCCTGTCTCAACGCTCCCACCCCTCTACGCTACCTTTCCGCGAAAGATCGCCAACGCGAGGCCGAGCGCGAGAAGCTCGGCCTCATCAGCAAACAACGCCAACGAGAGCTTGAACAGGCCAAGCAAAAGGCAACCTCTGCATCCCATGACGAGCCCTTCCTCATGGGCACGCCTGGCCTTGATTACATCTCGCTTGGCCTAGTTGACGCTGATAAGATCCCGGAGTATAAGCTCACAATCGAGGACGGGCGAAGGCTGGCCAAGGAGTACAGCCGCGTGCTGATGCGGAAGCATCGTGCTCGTCAGGCGGCGGAGACCACACTTTTGAGGCTTAAGAAGGAGGCAATAGCTGCGCTGCCAGAAAAGCTGCAGGTGGCGGCGCTTGTGCCGGACTTCACCCCTTTTCCGGCAAATAGGTTCATGGCTACCCTCACTCCACCTATAGAAGGTTACATTGAGAAGGTCAAGGAGGCTGCAAAGAAGTCCGTTGGGAAGGAGAAATTGCGATGAAGGACAGACTCGTTTTCTTTTCCTGTTTATAGGTTAGGATATTCTTACATTAAGCTACTAGTGTAAACTAATGATTGATTTGTTCTTAGTTGGACAATCTGCAAATATATATGAGGCTCTAATTCTGATTTCGGCATTACGTGTTTTAACTTGATAACACGTCAATACGAGTAGAACTCTATTTGAAAAAATCGGGTTAGGGTTGACCCGAATATTTTTTAAGTCGGGTTTTAGCTATAGAATTTGACCAGTTTATTATTCTGGTTGGGTTCTGGTTGAACCTGAAACCCAAACATGACCCAAATAAGCACAAAAGTTCAGGTCGAGTTTGGGTTAGTGGGTCGAGTTTGGTTTCGGGTTTTAGTTGAAGACCCGTTTATTTTTCAGATCGGGTTCGGGTGAAGCCTATTTGGGTCGGGCCCGAACCCGACCCGTTGACCCGAATTGACGCCCCTACTTCCAGGTGCATCCCTGTAACAATTTTCTCACATTTTATTCATTGTCGAGGTTCCTGCACATGTCAATTTTATCGATGTCTTTTCCTAGCAAGATTGATACATTTTCCTCTCACCCCTTTTTTATTGTTGAGGTTTTCAATTTTTTGAGTAGCAATGAATGGATGCTTGAGATGGAACTTGACTAACAACTAAGTAAATATAAAATTCTATAAGCTAAAGATCTAAATTTTACCCTCTAAATATACAAACCTTTTATTTTAAATAATTATATAGATGGAATAAAACATTCTCTCATTCACACATTCAACTTACTAATACACCATAAAGGCTTCATTGCTTCCAAAATAAAAATAAAAGACAATTACATATAAAGCATTCCAAATATCATTATTTATAAAATTACCATCCTTTTGCAATCTTTTTTAAAATTCTCACGAAATAACAAAAAATTAATAGGGTTTTTACATACTTGGAGCATGCAAAATATGTAAGAGAGAGGAGAAGAAAATTAAAATGAGTGTCTATGGTCTCCTACTAATAGGTATGAGAGATACCTTTAATATATAATTAGCTTTAGACTCCCTTGTATAAAGAAACGTAGGGGCACCAAGGTTATTTGTTAAATACATTTAAATATGCTAATAAGTAATCATTCACTGACGACAGTGGTCCCTATTTGTTGATTTATACTTCTTCGTTCAATGATGAAAGTCGAAAACATGTGAAGATAATATTGAGGCTCCTCAGTCGAGTATGCTTATGGCTTCCTCTCAAATTCAAGTCCGTCCGTCTCATTCGCTGAGTGATGAAGGCGTCTCTTGTTCGACCCATCTTGTGGTCATCTTTCGTTCGGAATCCATGTTGGTCGGACCTCCAATTAGGCGAGCGACCCGACGGAGCTGTGTGATGGTTTCCTAACTCTGACATTAAGATTATTTAATTTAGCTTGTTGACTTATCCTGCACATCTTGAATGAGACCAATTTCATTTGTCGTGTATTTTTGTTTTGTCTCAATATCCTGTTATACAATACAAATTATTCAAAATATTAAATTCAATATTTTAGCCATCCAAACATAAAATTTAAAATTTAAATCACACCCAAAATTTAGCAGTATGTAATGGATGATGGCTGTAAATTGTAATGTTAATTTTTAAATATAAATAATTACAATATTATATTTAATATTTTGGTCACTTAAAGTGAGAATACCCCAATTTTATAATATAACGAAAAAAAATGCTCAACGCCGCGCGCTCAGCCTCTACCTCCGTGCCATCTCTGTAAAACCCTAAAACCTCCGCCGCCGCTGTGCGATTATCTCTCCTACGCAATGTTTCGCAACCTGAGAGCTCTCGTTACCTCCTCCTCCTCCCACTCACTAATCCAGCGCTTCGCTGTCAGCGGTACAGCAAAGGGCAAGGGTAAGGGCAAAGGGCACCCGCTTGGCCGAGTCCTGTCTCAACGCTCCCACCCCTCTACGCTACCTTTCCGCGAAAGATCGCCAACGCGAGGCCGAGCGCGAGAAGCTCGGCCTCATCAGCAAACAACGCCAACGAGAGCTTGAACAGGCCAAGCAAAAGGCAACCTCTGCATCCCATGACGAGCCCTTCCTCATGGGCACGCCTGGCCTTGATTACATCTCGCTTGGCCTAGTTGACGCTGATAAGATCCCGGAGTATAAGCTCACAATCGAGGACGGGCGAAGGCTGGCCAAGGAGTACAGCCGCGTGCTGATGCGGAAGCATCGTGCTCGTCAGGCGGCGGAGACCACACTTTTGAGGCTTAAGAAGGAGGCAATAGCTGCGCTGCCAGAAAAGCTGCAGGTGGCGGCGCTTGTGCCGGACTTCACCCCTTTTCCGGCAAATAGGTTCATGGCTACCCTCACTCCACCTATAGAAGGTTACATTGAGAAGGTCAAGGAGGCTGCAAAGAAGTCCGTTGGGAAGGAGAAATTGCGATGAAGGACAGACTCGTTTTCTTTTCCTGTTTATAGGTCAGGATATTCTTACATTAAGCTACTAGTGTAAACTAATGATTGATTTGTTCTTAGTTGGACAATCTGCAAATATATATGAGGCTCTAATTCTGATTTCGGCATTACGTGTTTTAACTTGATATCAGAAAATTGTTTGCTAATTAATTATTAGAAGTGCTAGAACATCTATTGGGAGAAAACAAAGAAGAAAAAAAAATAAAAATAAAAACTGTCTGTGCCCTCAGATTGTTGGCCTTACTTCGGGCATAGTTTTTGGTTTTTAATAGATTTGCCACTTATGCATTTGGGTATTGTAGAGCTCCTTTGGTCCAAGTTTGGAACTCCAAAATGGACTTATAGATTTGGAGTGCACCTTTCTATGAATATTTGTTGTGGCCATAAGTGATAATTGTAAGTGTGTATGCATGTTGAAAGTATGCCTATAAAAATTGCAATAGTATTTCTTTGACTAAACAATAGAGGGAATGGAGAGAGGCGGGAAGGGAAATAAGATAAAAAAAGTTGGTGGTCTTCATTGTGATTCAGCTCCTTAATGTGCTTAGATCCTTGCGTCAAGCTCCATTTTGGGATGTCCTCAATATCTCAATCTTCCTCAATCAGGTGAAGCCCCATAACCTCATTAATTCACTTCATTTTATGAGGCATGGCAAGGCAACTTGACTGATACTTTTCCTTGTGAAGTGAAATATTTTACTCATCGCATTCAATTAGTTAAAAAAGTCCTTCCTAAGATCAGTATGAAGTTTTATGTAACAAATTTTATTTTGTGGAGAAGTGCTATGCTAATCTAGCAAGGATGCACCCAAGAGGTGAGAGAAATACACAAGCAACAGAAAGGCCACACTTTCTACAATGTCATCCTAGTTAGCGCTGATCAATTAATCATTTTGCAGTTGGAGAAGAGTTTTATGTGATTCTCGAATAAATTTTTAAATCATCATGAAGTACAAAATGATGTAGTCTCCTTACAATTACAGGGATTATACCTATTTTGAAATTTTAATTTCAGAAAGTCTAGACACCTAATTGATGCTTGCTTGCCCCACTTTATAAACATGTTCAAATAAATTAATGTTGAATTTAAACCTAAATTTGTTCGCGGCTTTCATCAATTGGCTCAATAGACCAACTGCAAGTTGGTTGGTGGCTGATATATTGCAAAGTGATTGATTTCATTCACCCACTTTCACTTCAACTAGTTTAATTGAAGTTGGCAATTTGAGCTTTTATGTAATTAAAGCCAATGTGCTAATTTGCCTCTCCAATTAGAGAACCTTTTTAAAAGGATTCATCAAAGCTTGTAAATTTGAAATTATTTCTCTTAAAAAGTGAAGCTTGAAAAAATTAGTTAAAGCACATCAGACTCAATTCAAGATCTGTGAAGGACCACCCCATTCATGCTCAAGGTAGGACATTAGGACTTCTTCTAGTGTCTTAATGGACGTTGTTAGGCACATGATCTATAGTGAGGCTTGGTATTTTGACCTATCGTTGGAATTGGTTTAGGGACGAATTTATGAGCCATTGCTAATAAACTTTCTTGACATTTAAACTTGATGGAATGCCTTTAATAATTTTACCACAATTAGGTGCCCTAATATGCTAGCTTTTCTAATGCCTTTAAGATGGATAATAATCACTTCTGTCAAGTCTTTTAATGGTTGAGCTTCCCTTTCACATTTATTTGATGGAATATTTGTAATAATACAGCATCCATTATATACTTTTGAGTTAGAATTCCCAACACATTTGTTAAAAATCACATCTAGCAAGTGTTCTAATGGTTGAGCTTTCCTAACACATTTATTTGATGGAATGTTTGCAATAATACAACATCCATGGGATACTTTTGAGTGAGAATTCCCAACAGTTTATTTGATGAAATGATTTTCATAAATATCACTCTTAGATATCTCAATAGTTGTTTTATCCAACAAACACATTAAATTCAATAATCACTTAATATGATTTCTCTTGCATTACTCTAATAGCCAATGATGATGTCCAACCAAATATAAAAAATCATACATGTGAGAACTCATTTATGCTTAAGCATGCAAACAACTTCTGTAGCATAAAATGTCAAATTTATTATATTTATGATTTTGTAAATCAAGGAATAGGACCATGATATGTTTTTTCCTATACAAAATCATCGACGAATGCAAAATCATCGACGAATGCAAAATCATCGACGAATGCAAGATGGACCTTTAATGCTCAACTTCAACGAACATAGATAAATACTGATGCCTAGCTTTGACAAATGCTGGTTACACTTTCGATGCTCGATTTTGACGAATGTTGTATGAAAATTTGACATGACGAGAAAGGAGATTTCTAACTTTGGTGTATAATTAGGGCTATATCCCATACGGTGTCGAGGCTTATCTAGAATGTGTTCGGAAATTAACATGAAGTGCATAAGATCACTTCATTAGTTATGGTGGACATGTGTAAGTATCCTGTACGTGTCAGACACGGGTATGCCATATTTTTAGAAGTGTCGGTGCTAAATATAGGTAGTAACTCTCACAAATTAGTCTACATTTCAATATCGAAACTTTTCATGTAATACTGCACTTAATGTTCATTTGAATATTCAGGAACAACCCACTTCTAATTGATTATAACAAAATCAATAATTATCATTATATATTAAGAATCATTCAAGTAATATGAAAGGGCATAATAAAAATAACCCCTATAAAAGCTTGAGGCCATGCAACATAAGTTCCGATTGATTATCCAGTTTATGTCAAAATTCTATAAGATGTTAACATGCACTTCACATAATTCAAAGGAATATTTATATGATAATTGTTAACACCAATCTGGCCCCAATCTATGATTTCCTGCCCTGTGTACATTATCCAAGCTTTGAATGCATCCAAATGCTACTATTTTACTAAACTAAAAAAAAAAAAAAAAAGTTTTACTTTAACAAGTCTTAACCGAAGTGTTACCATCATATTAAGAAAATTTGAATTATTGTAATATTCACTAAATAATTGTTAGAAACATGGCCTGAAAGCATCTTTAAGTCTTTTAAAGATCATAGATTCTCATAAGCATTCCAACTTTCATATAAAAATGTGTGAGTTTATATCAACCCTGTATGCATGATCTAAGTGAAGCAGGTTTTACTTTTTGAGCTTACATCTAATTAAAAGCTTATATATTTGAAGTATTACAATATACATGTAATTTTGAAACTACTTGAGCAAAAGAGCACACTCCATCTATATCATTTCTAACATGTAGTTTTGATGTTTTTCAGCCTTTTACATGTATCTAACTTTTAAAATTACATGTTACCTATTTTGCTTTAATATTGGTTTCACTTGTTCTTGCAGCTGTTCGTTCTCAGTAGAGTAAAAGGCTGAAAACCTCAAAAAGTTGTCTGCCAGACACCTTCTTGTCAATGGAAGGCCACTGGCATGGAAGGACAATGAAATGGCGGCTGTGCTGCATAATTTTTATATTGTCACTTCAGAAATTAACATGAAGTGCATAAGATCACTTCATTGGTTCTGGCCGCTATCTTGGTTTTCAGAGTAAAAGACTAGGAAACACCCACAGGTTTGTCTCCCACCCCACCCTCATGTTAAAAGAACATTCCCTTAGCCATGAGAGGGTGATTTAGTGGGGGAGCTGCATATTGTCTATTGTCTGTCGTAATTTTTCAAAGAAGTTGGTAATTATACTTTTTTATTTGACTAGATGATTATGACACCTACCTGTTCATGGTTCACACCTACATTGCCTTGTTGCCTCCACATCCCAAATTTTAAAGAAACGCCAAATTTTTATGATAATTTGCGTTAGAAAGAGGAACGTTTATTCATCATATCTTATTTGCATTAGAGAGGCCACAACAGAACATCAGCTCTCATGATGCTCTTAAAATTGAAAGCTGACAGTGTCAATAGATTACAAAAACGGAGCTGAGCTGCAAGCTTTATCAATGGAGTATATGTATATAGCTCAGTCATAAATTGAAGGAAAAACTGGGCGAGGGCAAGTTTTCTTTAGTCATGCCTAACCATTTCTGTGAGGATTCTGGATTTATTATCCTGTGTTTATGGTTGGCAGTTCTTTCTTCTACAGTTTAATAAAACCCTATCACCTGAAGTAACTTATCACTGTTTGGATATAGCTATGCAAAGTATAAAAGATGATATTTACTATATATTGTTAGGATTTTTGTGAGAGAAACTGATGGGAACTTCTCTGCTCATTTTTCAACAATATCAAAGAGCAAGCTTCTCAAGAAGGTCCCTACAATTTATTTTAGACTTTTAAATGGTTCGTCTCTCAAAAGTTAAATGGATAAGTATCCAAGTTTCATTTTACCTTTAGTACCCGAAGGAAATGGTTCGTCTCTCAAAAGTTAAATGGATAAGTATAAGGACATTCCAAGTTTCATTTTACCTTTAGTACCCGAAGGATTTATTTATTTTCTATGGTCCAAACTAGGATGTGGAATGGTTTTCTTAAGGTTTAGAATCAATATAGGTTGTTGGTTTATATGCTCCTGAACTTGTATAACTTGGGGAGCTGAAGGACTCAAAAGGCAGAGCATAGGAATGCTGTGTCGTAGTTGTTGAGAAAACATTGTAGATGAATAAATGATTGATAGGTAAATTTGCTTTATATTTACTGGATTTTTTTTTAAATAGAGCAAGGACTGATAAATTTTTAAGCCATGTAATTAAATTTCATAATTTTGTAGAAATGATATTTTCTTTTAATGAATGGGCCATAGACATTAATTTTTAACCAAACTTCGTTCTTTTCATCTGCACTTTTGAAAGTAAAGTATATAGTTTTATCATTAAGGGAGCTCATTTAGGTATTAATTAACAAACAAAATACAGCATCTTTGAGCCAGTTGGCGAAAAAATGGAAGATGTTGTCAGTCTTGCACACGTAATCACACTACAGATGCAAAAAAATAATACCAGTACTTCAATTTATAAATTTACATGGGTGTATGGGGGAAATGGCAAATGAAAAAAATATTATAATTATCATTGATATTATAATTGTCATATTAATGTGGAATTGCTTTGAATGCAGATACCATTAGAAGAAAAATTTAGCAACAAAATATAATTATTAGATAAATAACGGTATATTATAACTATTATAACTGTAGAGAAACATAGAATTAATAACAGACTCTAGATTGAAATTCTGAGGTACTGGTTTTTGCCTTTCTTCCAGCTTCAAGCCCTTATTGTTATTCATTTAATGAAACAATTAAGGAAATTTACTTACATTCCACAGAATTTTTATGTATTTACATATCTAACACCTTAAGTTTGGTATTTACATTTATAGCACATTGGTGTCATGAACTTTTGCATGAAAATATGTATTTTACAAAAAGATAATGATGGCGGTAATTTTGACGTGGTGTTAAAGATTTGAGTGATATACATGTAAATACATAAGAGTTGCGGGGTATTAATGTAAATGTCCCAAAAATTTATGCTAAGATATTCAGAGCGATAGTAAGGAAACAAATTCTAATGTCCTGGTAAAATTCTCAATAGTAGTTCATTGTCAAAACCTTTAATCAAGTAAATTGTTTGATGTATACTATAATGCTATTTACATATTGTCAAAAAATTCATTTAGTCAACTAAGGAGCTGAACATAACTTCTAAATTTCAGCACGTCGAAATTCAAATAAAAACTGCTTGAATTTACTATGGAACTATTCGAAGCCTATTTTTACTGAGTTAAAATGACACCTTTATGAGGACAAATTGAATGATGCTAATAATTCTTCTTTAAGGTAACTTCTGAGCTCTTAGGGTTTTAGCTTTTTGTTTTTTCTGCTTTGTAATGCATTTAGCTTGCATCTTGTCTGATTTGTTTGTATTGATTTTCTTATATTTCTGTTTATAATTTTTTTAATGCTATTATTACTGAGATTAATTATCTATGGTTTATTGTTTCCCGGGACAGTCCATTACTGTGGTTTTTGTTTGCTTTGCTTTCTGCAGCTGGGTTAGATCTATCTTCTACTGTTGTTCTTCGATTGTTGTTTCTTGTTGTTCTTATTATACAGTTGATGTCACTTTAATGTTCTTCTTCTGTTGTTGGCTCGTGACTTTCAATTGTGATATACTTCTTCTAAGAGCTTTGTGAGGAGATTGGTTTGCCTTTCTTGTTTGGGCTTCTTTATTATTTGGGAGGTCCTTATCTTCTTTGGGCCCTTGTCGTGTTTGTTTCTTATGGCTTTATGCTGTTTTTTTCCATAGTTGTATTGTTTGTTTTTGTTTGTCTAGTTGTGTCCTCGAGTTGTACTTTTTTTTTTTGAATAAAGTTGGTTGTCACTCTTATTTTTTCCAAAAGAAAAAAAGGAAATGTTTTGATTCGGGTCTCATTGAATCTAAATCAAATACATACAACTGTACAAGGTAGTGTAAAAAATTTTGTGATGTTGTTTGAGGGACTATATGACTTTTAATTCTTGTGTGCTTATAGGTAAAACATCTCCCGACAAGCGAGAGTTGACAAGCCTAATATTTCTCTATTTTAGTATCATTAAAGTATTGAAATATCTAGGAAACACTCAATGATTAAAGGGAATCAACGCAAATTCGTTGATGAAGTGTCTTGGTTTAGTGTTAAATTGGTCGAAACTCTCTCTGCATCAATATAGAAATAAACCATTCTTCTATTATTTATATAATTAGGAGGTTGGGCAGTAGACCCATGTAGGATTTCAAATGAAAGAATTCATTACTCTTATATATTAGCACCCAATGTGTCGTTGACCACTCTCGACTCTCAATGTAGCCACCATCACTACTATTATCCTCATATGACATCATGATTACTAGCACTCCCTGTTGTTGAAAAGGCTGATACCCATCATCACTATTAATTTTGACATTTAGCATCATCTTGACGCCTGTTATCGCCATAGAGGTCAACACTTATGGTTGTCAACAACTCCTTCACATATCGCTAATAAGACCTATACTCGCCATTTATGGCAACATCAATTGCATTATTGCCACCAAAATAATGCTTATTGTCATCAATAACCTTAACAATTTTCATCGCGAAAAACTTTAGTGGTAACAATCATCGCCCCCACGTTCATCACCGAAGTGAATGCATGTTGTTGTCAACATCCCTAACACCCCTGGTTACCTAAAAGACTTGTATCCACTATCAATATCAATGCTAACTCTCATCAACAGCACCAAGGCTAATGCTCTCCTTCATCAATCATTTCAATGCTCGCCATCTACAATAGTCAATGAATGTCATTAACACTTATATTGATGCTTGTGATTGCCACCAAGCTGACACCTATTATCACTATCAAACCTAATCTCAGTAAGCTTGATTGTTAGTTATCCCTTCTATAAGTGTAATGATTGAGCTTGTCATTGATCGTCTCTTGATGACAACTTAAACTTCTCATAACTCATCCTACTTGAGCCATGGATGCCATCTTCTACAATTCTTATCTACTCTATTCTACTAAGATCTTCTCCAACTAGAAGGAAATTAATCTTTCATACTATACAACTACTTTTGGAATCATTTTACTTGTTCGAGATCCCATATTTTTACCATGTAAGAAATCATACATCTCTTATAAGCTGTTCTTAAAATATCAATTTATGTGTAATACGATAAGTTTGCTCTCTATTATTATGAATTTTTCAGCTGCTAAAAATTATGATCCTCAAGTTTTTAGAGTATATTATAATATTATGATCAAATAGTTTTATAATAAGTGTAGGAATATTATATAAATAAAATAAGCAAACCAAAAAAAAAAAACACTAAGCTATATAAAACATTAAAAATAGAATTCATAAATTATGATATTGTTTAAAAATAAAGAAAATAAAATAAAATACCAAAATGATTGGGCTCTACGACACCGGAATGCTATTTGAATATTACTGTGATTGCATAAAACAAAAGGTAAAACAGTAGACCATAAAATAATTGTATTTCTTGTTAAGCATTGTAATACCAATGAACTTATGCTAAAATATTCATTTATTTAATTGGGAAAAAAATCCAAAAGTCATAATGGAAGATCTCCAACTCAGTAGACTCTTACATCTCATGATGGATATTAGCCTAGCTAGCCTATAGAACAATCTGTGGGTGTTGTGATAAAAATGAAGATAACATCCAATAATGTTCAGTAAGGATGTATCAAGGATGATGTGTTAGGTGTTCATCCCAATAGGACCTAATAGAAAGTAGCCATTAGGGTGCCTAGGGCTCGACAGGATAATCTATGGTTGAATTGAGCTTAAACAGGTCAACTGGAGTCTACTTTGGTCTGCATAGGTACACAATCCAATTCAATGATATTTTATGAATGCATTGTCCCCATGTATAATGAAGGTCATCTGAATCTACATACGCCAAGGGTTCTAGCTTTAC